GGCATCCGGCCCCATCACTTCATGGCAAATAGATGGGGAAACTGTGGAAACAGTGGCTGACTTTATTTTTCTGGGCTCCAAAATCACTGCAGATGGTGACTGCATCCATGAAATTAAAAGATGCTTGCTCCTTGGAAGGAGACTTATGATCAACTTAGACAGCATATTAAAAAGCAGAGACATTACTTTGCCAACAAGGTCCGTCTAGTCAAGGATATGGTTTTTCCAGTGGTCATGTATGGATGTGAGAGTTAGACTGTGAAGAAAGTTGAGTGCCGAAGAATTGACGCTTTTGAACTGTGGTGTTGGAGAAGACTCTTGAGAGTCCCTTGGATTGCAAGGAGATCCAACCAGTCCATCCTAAAGGAGATCAGTCCTGAATATTCATTGGAAGGACTGATGCTGAAGCTGAAACTCCAATACTTTGGCCATCTGATACGAAGAACTAACTCATTTGAAAAGACCCTGATGGTGGGAAAGATTGAAGGTGAGAGGAGAAGGGGATGACAGAGGATGAGATGGTTGGATGGCATCACTGACTCAATGGACATGAGTTTGGGTAAACTTTGCGAGTTGGTGATGGACAGGGAGGCCTGGCGTGTTGTAGTCCATAAGGTCGCAAAGAGTCGGACACGACTGAGTGAATGAACTGAACTGAACTGAAAAGTTGAAGCTACAACTACTGAATTTTCTGAAGGAAACATACTAAAAAAAAAATCTCTGCAAATCTGGAGAGGCAAAGATTTCTTAGGATGCAAAAATCATGGCTCGTAAAAAAATTTTTTTATTAACTTGAGTAAAACACAGTTTAATACTCATAAAACACCATTAAGAAAATGTGGACAGTCCACAACCTGGGAGATAATATTCACAGTACATATACTTGATATACTCAACAAAAGACCAGCATCTAGAATAAAGAATCCCTACAACTTAATAGTAGGATGACAAATAACCCAATTAAAAAATACACAAAAGATTTAAGCACACACTTCACATAATAAGATATATGAATAACAATAAGGAAATGAAAAATGCCTAACATCATTAGTCTTCAGAGAAATGCAAATTAACACCACAAGATATCATTATACACCCACTAAAATGGCTCAAATTGAAAAGGCTGTCAATACCAAGTGTTGGTGAGAACACCGAACGACTAAAATTCTCCCAGCGTGCCATTCAATGTGTAAAATGCCAAACTCTGGAAGACAGCTTGACAGTTTTTTATAAATTCAATCATACCAGTATTCTAAGATCCATGAATTCTATGAAAATTCCTAGGTACTTACCCCAAACATTTGTCCATGCAGAGAATTGTATATGCATGTTCCCGGCAGCTTTATTCATAACAGCCTCAAGCTGAAAACAACCTAATAGCACCAGGTAGATGGAAACTCAGCCACCAGGACACCGCCCAGCAAAGAAAGAAACAACCTAATTCATGCAACACCAAGTATGAACCTCGAAAGAACCAGATGCTTAGTGGAAAAAAACAAATTTATAAGTATATACTGTATTAGATTTATGTGAAATTCTAGAAAAGGCAAAGCTAGTCCATTAGTAGCAAAAATCGGAACAGTGGTTGCCGAGGGCCAGAACGGGGGTAGAGGTTTCTGGCTGTGAGGGCTGCCGCTGCTGCTGCTAAGTCACTTCAGTCATGTCCAACTCTGTGCGACCCCATGAACCGCAGCCTACCAGACTCCTCCATCCATGGGATTTTCCAGGCAAGAGTACTGGAGTGGGGTGCCATTGCCTTCTCTGGACTGTGAAGGCAACTATCAGTAAACTCCCTGGGATGGTGGGAATGCTCGGTTTCTTGTGTGGGAGTGAGGGTACTCATTGAACCGGACTCACCGCATCTCACCTCACCACAGAGAAGCCTCCTGGCCAGAGGCCACATCTTCCCTAGCCTCCGCCACCGCCAGACCACCGATGCCAGCAAACACTGAACTTCACACTATGCAGCGTGCGTGACAAACAGCATTTCACTGCACTCTCTGGTAAGGATGTTCTGTGATGGTGCAGACCTTGGCCCTAACCCTAGAATATAAAGTAAGCGTCTGTCCTACACTGAGCCACTAGCCACAGGTAGCGACTGAGCACCAAAAAGGCAGTTCCTACAACTGGGGGACTGTTCTTTAATTTTAGTGAATTGAAAGGGAAATGGCTACTGTAGACAGCACAGCTCCAGCTCTCCCAGAAGTGAGGACCATAATCCTCATTTTACAAGTGAATAAACTGGGATTCTTGCGAGGTCCCTCTGTCAGTATATGGGGAAAATGTTAAGCTTCTCCCACTCAGGGTCAAAGAGGAAACGTGAAATTGATTGTCCTCTAACAGGTCAGCTCAAAGATACAAAATCATCACAAAGAAACAGCACAGTTGCCACGCCTACAGTGACATTCCCAACGTCATTGCTACCCCATCAGAAGGGCCGATCAGCAATGGCTTTGAGAGAAGACAGGCCATTGCAGACACATGTCCCAGCCCCGGCAAAGGGTCAGCCCAGGGATATCCAGACTCTCCATGCCAACCACCTCCTGGGGTGTGGTCCTAGATGTGGGGCCACAGTCTGGGACTGCCCGTCTCCCCCACCCCCAGCCCCCGGCCATGCAGCTGAGACAGTCCGCTACTTCTCTAGGCAAATGCATTAACTAGCGTGTGTCCATCAGGCCCACGCCCTTGCTTGTGGCACCCTGGCATGAGAACTGGAAGAGCTTCCTGGTGCTGAGGCAGGTTTCTGAGCCTGCAGGTGCAGATCTGCAGGTACCAAGCTGGCTGGTGAAAGTGATGAGGGCCCCCCGCTGGACACTGTCCAGGGGCAGCTGGCCTTTCCCAGGGGACTCCCCAGCTCTTCTGCAAGTCTCCTCTGCGAGGGACCATACTAGCCATGGGGCTCAGCATAGGGCCAGGGACACGCTGAAAGTGCTTGATGGTGGCTCAAGGCCTCCTCCTCCAGGAAGCTGCCCTGATAACTGACGCACAGACTCCTTCCTTCAATGGACAGAGCACTTGCTGTCACAGCACGTTTGGGCTCTTGGTCACATGCTGTCCCCACTGTGCAGCACCACATTCCTCGCTAGCCTGCCTTACAGCCCTGTGCACTCCGCCAGCCCTGCCTCCGCCCGCACCAGGGTGTGACGAGCACCTGCTGACCACACAGCTCTCAGGGACGGCATCACCTCCTCCAAGAGGTCCTGTACCACCGCCCTCTGGCACGCTGCCCTGTGTTGATGGGCTCCAGGACCCTGTCTCTAACCAATACTTTTCCTGTTTATTATTTGTTTCAACCCTGTTGACCCGTTTAAGCCCTGGTTCCCACTGGCTGGGTGATTTTGGTCAGTGGGAACAGTTGCAGCCAAAAGTTCTTGAGAACTTGCCCCTGCCAGATACCGCTATGCTTTCACACACATTGCCTCATCTAACACTCACAAAATCCCAGCAAGGTAAGTTCTGTTATTACTCCAGTTTTCACATGAGAAAACTGAGATGCAGGAAGATTCAAGAACATGGACTTCCTTGGTGGCTCAGTGGATAAGAATCCACATGTCTATAGGGAACCTAGGCCTAGACAGCATATTAAAAAGCAGAGACATTACTTGGCCGACAGAGGTCCATCTAGTCAAAGCTATGGTTTTTCCAGTAGTCAGGTATGGGTGTGAGTGTTGGACCATAAAGAAAGCTGAGTGCCAAAGAAGTGATGCTTTTGAACTGAGGTGTTGGAGAAGACTCTTGAGAGTCCCCTGGACTACAAAGAGATCCAGCCAGTCTATCTTAACAGAAATCAGTCCTGAATATTCATTGGAAGGACTGATGTTGAAGCTGAAGCTCCAATACTTTGGCCACTTGATGTGAAGAGCTGACTCATTTGAAAAGACCCTGATGCTTGGAAAGATTGAAGGCAGGAGGAGAAGGGGATGACAGAGGATGAGATGGTGGGATGGCATCACCGACTCCATAGACATAAGTTTGAGTAAACTCTGGGAGTTGGTGATGGACAGGGAAGCCTGGCGTGCTGTAGTCCATGGGGTTGCAAAGAGTCAGATACGACTGATAAACTGAACTGAATTGGTCCAAGTGTCACACTAGTGGTTAGCTTCACTAATCAATATTGAGTGCACTTATCATAGGAAACCAGTAACATTTTCAGATTTAACTGTGGTCAGTGGAAGAATATGCTCCTGCTACTCAATTTGTTAGATAAGGCCCACACCTGTTTTGCATCTCCCTTTTTGAAATGTCAGGATTGCATTAAAGGAATTACTTCATGTGTCCCCACAGCACCACATCACATTTAGAAAGAGGGGCTAGAACATCACCATGGATTTATAAATTTTTATCCCCTTCCCTGCAGGAGGGATTGGGCTTTTTTTTTTTTTTAAAGGCTTCCTAGTTGATATCAAGGTGATCAGCTGAAATGAGCAAAAAGCATGGTGGGTTGTCATGAGGATTAAATAAAACACTCAAAGGCACCAGGCCTAAGGAGCTGTTTATTAAATATTCAGACTCTGAACCTGGATTGATCAACAACGCGTTTAGTGGTTTAGTGAAAAGCTTTTTCGGCACCAACAAGGCTGGTTTACTTAACTTCTCTAAGCTTCACTCTCCTCATTTCTAAAAAAGATAAAAAACCCCTCTGGCCGTTTAAGTTTGTTGTGGGGAAAAGCAAAGTTACAGGACAGATGATAACAGGCAGCCTGGAAACACCTGATGCACATCACAGTAGAAAATACTTGGCCTCTCTTCCCTTTCACAGGCCGATGGGGACTGAAAAAAAACAGCATCTCTTAGGGTCCCGGTCAGTGTCTGTGATAATAAACTGCCACCTGCACAGACCTTGCTACATGTATTAGTAAATACACCCCTCAAAAATGGGCATTTGATGAGCACCCATCAATTAACCGTACACCTAGAAATGGTGCCCACCAAATTAACTGCCATTATTCTACAAAGAAACTTTCAGTTCCTTTAACTGATACTTCAAAATTCCTACTTACATTTTGCATTTGCCTTCCAGTAATCTGCTAGGAGGTGAACCTGTCAATAGGAAGGAGAAAAATTTTCTATCACTAACGCCCTCAAAAGAACGCTTACACTCAGTTGGAATTTTCAGAATTCAATCACCCCCAAACTACCTCCCAGTTTTGATTCTGCCTAAAGGACTCCTCATAGTTGGTCCAGCACAAACCAAGAAAAGTTTAAAAAATAGTAAGAGTCAAAACTGCTGGGGCCTGGTGATCTTGTTTGCTGGGACACAGTCGTTGGGACTTGGGAAGGGGCAAGCAGATTCCGCAAAAGAGCTACTTAAACTAATAGCTAGGAGCTCAGATGAGGTCACAGGATGTTTAAGCTTTTCAGAGCTCTATGCTCAGCCAGGCAGTTAGCCTACATACCTTTGACTCAATCAACATTAAGGCTCCGCCCCTAGATAAATGTCTCTAGGACACAATTTCTCATTTGGGGAGGCTAATAAAACGCTTCCTTGGTGCGTTGTGAGGAATTCTGACAACGTATCTGAAAGTGCTCTACCCTCTGCAAAGCACTGCTCACATACTGGTTATGTTTTCCTAAGTCCAGCCATTTTCACGTCAGAGCAAAGTGTGGCTTACAGAGATCAAACGTCTTCCTAAGGTCTCACAGAGAACCAAAGCAGAGCTCGCTCGGTTTTCTGCAACCATCCAGCCTTTCTCAACTTTCAAAGCCTGGTTCCAGAACGCGTTTTCCTCAGTCCAGCGCAGCGGATAAGACACAGAAACGGCCCGGGGTTCGCACCCCAGCACTGCCTCTCACGGCCTCCTAGGACACACGTCTGCTCCGTGCGCCTCAAGGGAGGGAAGGGGTGGCGACCCCGCCTGGCCAGTCTGGGTACCTAACAATGGCAGTTAGCTTCTTGTCAGCCCAGTTGGCACTCCCTCTCCTGCTCTCTCCCCGCTCGGGGGGCTGCAGTCAAGGCCGGGGCACTTTGAAGGCTCGCTGCGTGCCAGGCACTGTGCTCGTGGCTCTGGCCGACCGCGACCCCCTCCTCAGCCCAAGACAATTGGTGGTGGTGTGCGTGTGGGGGTCATGCCGTCCCATCCTCCCGCTCACGGGCAGGCGGGCATCCCAGCTCTGGCAGCCCCCCGTTCAGTACTTCTCCTATTTCGCTGCCCCGCGACGACCCCAGCGCCCCTACCCTAAACGGCGGCCACTGACCCGCCCTGACTGGCCCCCAATCCCATTTTGCAGATGAGGCTAACTGAGGCCAGCCCAGAGTCACAGGGCGGTGGGAGGCGGGTGGAGGCCTGCCGGGTGTCAAAGCGGTTAGCACCGTGCCGGCCCCTGGTTGGGGCGGGAAAGCGTCGGTCTCCTTTCCTTTGGATTATGTTGGAACGGAAGCCCTAAGAGGGCAGGAACTGTGCCGTTCGGTGTTGTGCCCCGAGCACAGTGAGCACGCAGTAAATCATTTGACTCAATGACTTACTCCGGCCCTGCCTACCTCTCTAACTTCAACTTTGAGTCACCCAGCCTTCTCCTCAAAAACTTGTAAAAGAATCTGAGAAAGTCCAGACAGGAGGGGTATGATATGGAAAAGAGCACCCAGCCTGCACTTGTGCAGAGGAGTTAATCCATTTAGAGAAGAGGTGAAGAGAGACCAGCTAGAAGGCTTCAGTGAAACCCAGAGCAGGATGATGGTGGTCGTGGTTTAAGGGGTGGCAGTGGAGATAGAAGGGGAAATGTTTGAGATAGGTTTTGGAGAATTAAGGGGATTTGCTGATGGATTGAAAGTAAGGAATGGAGCGAGAGGAAATGAAGAGGCAGTTCTTGAGTGGCTGATGGTGCTGGATATTGAAATGGGGAAAACTAGGAGAGAAATAGGTTTAGGTTAAGGGAATAAAGTGTTCTGTTTTTCTATTTATGGTGTAAGTTATCTCTACAGATATGAGTCTGGTACTCAGCGGACAAACACATGGACTGAAGATGGGAATCCGGGCCATATAAATGGTATTTACAGCATTAAGAATGAAAGATATCACTTATGGTGAGAAGAGAAAAGAAGCAAGCAGGACAGAGCCCTGAAGATCACCTGGATTTAGAGTTCTGGTATAAGAGGGAGGCCCTGCAAAGGAGAGGGGACTGGCCAGAGAAGCAGGAGGAAAACCATGAGGGACCCAGAAAAAACAGTGTTTCAGGAAGCATGGAGTCATCAGTTTTGGCAAATGCCACTGAGAGAAGAGCGATGTGGCTGTACATCAGAGAAATTGTACTTGAATTTGACAGAGTGCTTTTGGTGGAGTGTAGGGATAGATGGAGAATTGAGGAGAAGTAGAAGTGGAGGTAGGTAGTGTGCACAGACAATTCAAGACATCAAGGGGTGGAAGAGAAGAGAGAAATGGTCAGGGACAGAGGAGGTGATTTCAAGGGATTTATTTGTCTAGAACGGGTGACACATGAGTACATGTGTGCTGTTATTTGGGAATGATCCAACAGAGAGCAAGAGATTTAATGATCCCAGAGAGAGGAGGGCAGTGACTCACAGAGGAAAGACCTCAGAAAGAGGGGAGTATATAAGATTGTATATAAAGGCATAGCTCAGACCAGCCAAAAAGCATACCTTTGTGACAGCTCAGACCAAAGACCCAGGAGCTCCACTGCAGAAGAAACAGCCACACTATTTCAGGGTAGCCACTGTTGCTTAGCAACCTGTGTTTAATAAGATGTTTCAACTGAATTCCTCATTAACTGCCATTTCAACTTAGGCTAACAGTTCACATCACTGGGACCTGCTTCAGCTTCCTTCCCTCCCCCAAAGCCGGGTACTTTTGTGGAAATGCCATGAAACTGGAAAGCTCGGGTTTCTGCTTTCTTCTACTGTTGATGATATATCCATTGAGATGTGAAAAAATAATACATCACAGAGAAGATGGATTTAGCCATCTTAAAGGGAAGTTGTTGAAAACTGCAGTGTTGAGGAACTTCCCTGTTGGCTCAGTGATTAAGAATCCTCCTTCCAACGTGAGGGATGCAGGTTCAATCCCTGGCTGGGGAACTAAGATCCCACATGCCACAGAGCAATTAAGCCAGCATGCCCCAACTACCAAACCTGTGCACTCTAGAGCCCATGTACCACAATTAGTCCATATGCCACAACGAAAGATCCCACATGCTGCAACTAAAACCCAATGCAGCCAAATTTTTTTTTTTTAATTGCAGGGTTATATTTCTAACTCAGGACTCTCTGGTGAACACCACTACCTTCTTGCCCTCTTGGAGGCATATCAGGCTAAGCAGAATTTCTAATTCCTTCTATTCAACCACCCAAACTCACTTATTCCTTGTACAGTTTTACCCACTACAGAACATGGTCAACCCATTTGACACATTTACCCAAAGTCATTGGATTCCTCCCTCTTCCAAACCTACTCCATATAGTTAGTTACTGCCTCCAACATACTTCTCAAATTCTTCTACTTTTCTGCACACCCTCTAAATCTGCCTGGTCCAAGTCACCACCATCCCTCCCCTGGATTAGTACAGGAGCCTTCTAACTGGTCCCCCTGCTGCTCTCGATCTACCTCCAACACACTCTCCATGCAGCATCCAGAGAATGAGCTCTTAAAAAAAAAATTAAACAATCTACTCATTGCCTTAAAAATCTTTAAAGGTTTCTGGTTACATTTTTCTGCCAACTGGAGCCCTTTACCACCTCCTCTAAATTCTGTGTCTGGGAACTTCCCTGGTTGTCTGTGGCTAAGACTCCACAATCTCAATGCAGGGGGCCCAGGTTTGATCCCTGGTTAGGGAACTAGATCCCACATGCCACAGTTAAGAACTCGAATGCCTCAACTAAAGCTCCTTCAGGCCACAACTAAAGATCCCCCATACTGCACCTAAGACCTGGTACAGTCAAATAAAAAAACACAGAATTTTTTTAAAATATAGGATACCTTTTGGTGGCAGAAGAACCAACAGTACTCATGGACAGCGCGGGTAGGTGGTTAGAGGTAGAAAGTTTTGAAGAAAACAAATTAAGAAAGACTTTCACATGTATCTAGTGAACCTCAAATTTAGAAATATATTTAACATATGTCAAGGCCTACTTATTACATTTAGATTCTCAAGAGTATAGTATAGCATAGGCAAAGAATTTGGATTGAATCTTGAAATTCCAATCAAATGTGATTTAAAAACTGTCTAAACTCAAAGGGCCACTGTTTCCTCATTTGTAAAACAGTAACTGATTGTCCCTGATTTAAGATGTTTGTAAAGCTCCATGATAGAATTTCCCTGATGGCTCAGTGGTAAAGAATCCACCTGCCAATGCAGGAAACAGGGCTCTGATCCCTGGTCCGGGAAAATCGCACATGGTGTGGAGCAATTAAGCCCATGTGTCACAACTAATGAACTTGTGTCTTAGAGCCCGGGTGCTCTGCACAAGAGAAGGCGTGGCAATAAGAAGCCCACGAATTGCAAGGAAGACTAGCCCCCACCCCACCCCACCCCCATCTCTGCAACTGAAGTCCACACAGCAAGGAAGACCCAGCACAGACAAATGAATTTAAAAAAAAAAAAAAAAAGCTCTACTACAGCACCTAGAACTGTGAGTAAGGACCGTGTGGGAAATCCCAAAAGAATGAAGCAGAGAGCCTCATATCTGAGGTTTATTTCAGGAGATGGTGATGCAAGGTAGAGTGTTCCAGAATTTTGAGCATGTGGGACATTTATACCATTGGACTTAAGAGCATTCCAGTTTCTGCCTAAACAGGGAACTGTCTCTCTGCTAGGCATCCCCACACTAGGGCACATTTAATTTCTCATCAGGGAGAGGGCGAGGTTTTCCCTGGAGGGTGCCTCAACAGTACCTTCTTAGGTATTCAATAATTGTTTAATGAAGAACGGAGTCGGTGTGATAGCAAGAGGTTATCGTGGAGAAACAAGAACTATCCTCCCGGGCCGGGCAGGTCTAGAGCCGGGAAATTTTCACGTCGCCATAGCAACGACCCCCTCCACGCGCAGCCCAGAGGAAACTACAAGTCCCATAAGTAGCCGCGGGTTCCCCGCCTCCAGGAGAGGCGGGGCTCAGGAGAGAGCGGAACCGGCTTTACCTCTTTCCTGCAGCGTGATTGGCCCTCGGCCCTTGGAGGCGGCCTATGAGTGCGCTCCGGGAGAGCGGCGAAGCTAATATGGCTTCCTACACCTGGTGACGGTTGAAGAAACTGTGTTAGGTCTCATGGAGAAGCCCCGGGGCGTCGAGGTGAGAGGGAGAGGACTTCTCGTGACTGGGAAAGGGAACCCCGAGAGCCTCGCTCGGTGGGCCTTCGTTAGGCCTTTGAGCGACGCCTGGAGGGTGGAGGATGGACGGATGGATAAACAGGTAGTTACGCTGAGCGAGGCCAGAGGCGATTGGTGTCGCCTTTTGCTCCCGTTCTCCTGGGTCCGAGTGAGGTTGAGAGAGGAACAGCTTCACTGGCCTGGGGGAAGAGGAACTGGATTCAGGATATGAGAGCTCCTGAATCTTCCTTCTCCCCCTTGTCTCATGGTGGCGTCTTTAGGGACTATGAGGCCAGTCACAGCCTGGTGGGAAGTAAAGGAAGATTAAAGTTTAATAAATATTCCGTATCTGGAGCGTATCCGTGCGTTGTCTCCCACAATAACAAGTCTTGTGTTATTGTCTCTTTTTATTACGGATCATGCAGCTGAGGCTTGGAGAGGGTGGTGCTACTCCCCAGTAGGGTCACACAGCTGTAAAGTGAAGGAGATGAGCACTAGGTCTGTCAGGTTCCAAAACTCTCCCTGTTTGACTTTTTCCACTCTTCCCACCACCTGTAACCCATACATCCTTTCATCATTTGGCTTCTGGTCACCTTATATTTGAATTTCCTTTCTGGCACATTTGCATGTGTAGTGTAAATATAAAGTGGAATCGCTCAAAAGCGCTACAAGAGTAAAGAAGAATCATCGTCAGTGTAGAGTGTGAATAACGCCCAGTTTTAGAGCTGTCGCTGACTGCTGAGAACAGAACTAGGCTTTCCATAGCGCCTGGGTGCTCACAGCAGCCCTCTAAAGAAGGCTTGTTACAGCCATTGTACTGGTGGAGAACCCCAGAGCCCTAAGTAGGAGAGCCTGGATTCCAACTCCGGCATATCTGATTTGAGAGCCTGTGCTTTTAACCAGTAATGAGCACCAGCATTTATTGAGCACTTGCTGTGTGCAAGTCACTATTCTGAGTGCCTTTCCCATGTTAACCCTTACTTCTCCCCCAAAGCCTATGAAATAGGTGGGATTGTCCTCATTTACAGATGGGGAAACCGAGGCACTGAGATTGAACTGCTGCAGGTCATATAGTAGGGATGGTTTTGGAGTCTTAGCCTAGAGCCCAAACGCTTCACACCTTTTCTGCTACATGCCAGTTAAATTCATATACAATACCTCATTTTACATTGCACATCTTTTGAGCCAAATATTTTTCTTGTTTTATAGATGAGAAAATTGAGACCCAGACAGGTTAAAACAACTTACCCAAGGACCCACAGCTAGTTAGGATCAAGGCTGAGTCCAAAGCTGTGGTATGTCCCACAGTGCTAGTATGTCATTTGCCTCAAATCCTCTTTAGGGCAGTCTGGGCCCCAAATTAACTTTCGTTTGACTTAAATTGTTTTTAAGTTGAAATTACTTTGGTGTACATCTGCTGAAGGGGGAAGAATGAGTTTCTAAAATACATCTTTTCCAAAATGTCTTCATGAGGCCCCATGCTTAGTATATTTTCACATCACTGTATTCTGTGTAAATTGTGGTAAAATGTCATCATGTGTGAATTCGCAGAGGACCCTGGTGACTTCCTAATACATGTTTCTGTCTTGCTAAGGTATTCTTTTGACTTGCAGTTGAGAAATGTATAAACAAGAGTAATGATCCTGATGTTTACGAAAGGGGTGTTTGTACCTGCCACTCGGCCCAGAAGCGTTGACTTGACCAAGAACTGGAAAGGGAGTTGATAGCAGACCTGCAGTTTCCCTTGTCTTACAGTAAGCCAAGCATGATTGCTTCTGCCTGCTTTGTGTCATCCTTTTCCTAGGAGACTCCGTCTTCAGAACCGATGGAGGAGGAAGAGGAAGACGATGACCTGGAGCTCTTCGGCGGCTATGACAGTTTCCGGAGTTATAACAGCAGCGCGGGCAGTGAGAGCAGCTCCTATCTTGAGGAGTCAAGTGAAGCAGAACATGAGGATCGGGAAGCGGGGGAGCTGCCCACCTCCCCGCTGCATCTGCTCAGCCCTGGGACACCGCGATCCTTAGACGGCAGTGGTTCTGAGCCAGGTGCCTTCAAAGTGTCCCCCGAAGATAGGGAGGTTTCAGAGGCTATGGATGGAGAGGTAGATGTAGGCCAGGTGCGTGGAGCTGTGCAGGTGTAAAGGGCTCTTTGATCTGATGTCTAAGGACCCATGAGAGAGACAGAGGCACTCCAAGTATCCCCAAGGGTCATTTCAGTCTAATTTCAAGTTGTGATTTCATTCTTTTCACACAATTAATATTCATTCAGCACATATTAGATGCCAGTCATTAACATGGTGGTGCTTTTGCGTTTGTGTAAATAATATTTGGTGGATTTCTAAGCCTGGGTCTTGAGAATATATGACACCTAATGTGATCTGGTTACTCTCTGGGAAGGGACAAGAAATAGCTTGTGAGTTGGAAGTGAGAGGCAAGGAAATACAGAATTAAGTGACCTCCAGGTAAGAGGATGAGGGCAGATAAGAATCCCCGTGAATCATCTGGAAGCCAGTTGGCTTCAGAGGTATGATGCTTGCATAGCTGCTGGACCTGTGTGTCAGGGCCTCCAGTGTGGGGACTGCCTGTGCAAAGAGGCAGGTTAGATGGTCTGTGATGACACTCCTGTTTCCTGGTCCCTTTACTCTTTAGAGGAGGAGCATCTAATACTCTTTGTCCATTCGTTTGTCTTCTCTTCCTCTCTCCCCTTTTATTTTTATTTATTAAATTATTTATGTTACTGTTGGTTGCGCTGGGTCTTCATTGCTGCACGTGGGCTTTCTCTAGTTGTAGCAAATGGGGGTACTTCGTTGTGGTATACGGGCTTCTTGTGTGGCTTCTCTTATTGTAGACCACAGGCTGTAGGTGCACGGGCTTCAGTAGTTGCAGCACATGGGCTCAGTAGTTGTGGGGCACGGGCTTAGCTGCATTGTGGCACGTGTAATCTTCCCAGGCCAAGGATCAAATCCGCCTTTCCTGCACTGGCAGGCAGATTCTTAGCCACTGTACCACCAGGGAAGTCCTATCTCCCCTTTCTTTTATTTTTCTCCCTTCTGTCTTCTTCCAGTCATTCTCTTAGAATCTTAGCACTAGAATGAACTATTAGAGACCATCTAGTCTGGGGGTGCACACACCTGGCCACACATTAGAATCATCTGGGGAACTTCTCATAACCACTGATGTCTGTGTCCCACCACAGATCAGGTCATTCTAATCAGGGCATTTTTAAATGCTTTCCAGGTGATTCTAATGTGATATCAGGGATGAATCATTGATCTAGTTGAGCCTCTTTAGAGATGAAGAAAACAGGCCCACAGAAGTTAAATGATATGGGTACATTTTTGTCTTCTCATTTTCCTCTTTGCAAACTTTCCCCGGTTGTCCTCAGGGATTCTCCTTAGCCCCAGTGCTGGCACACACAGCCAAGGGAAGCCACCCAGCTTCACGGTACACACCCAAACCACTTCCTCCTATTCCAGTTCTGTCAGCCTTAGGGGGTTAATGCAGTGCCCCAGGTTTGAAGGGCCCATCATTTTGTTTGAATTGGGGTGATGATTGAGGGAGTCACCTGCTAAATTCTCTTCCCAGCTGTCTGTGAGATGTGTGGGATCGTGGGTACCAGGGAAGCCTTCTTCTCCAAGACCAAGAGATTCTGCAGCGTCTCCTGTTCCAGAAGCTACTCCTCCAACTCCAAGAAAGCCAGTATATTGGCGAGATTACAGGTGAGAGGCAGTCACTTGGAAGACCCTTCCCGGGGCCCTGGGTACTGAGTGAGGAACTACCAACTGTGCTGGCGAGGGGCCCAGAGGGCTTGGGCAGGACATTGCTTGTGGCCTTCTGAGGTTGTAAATGGCCTGGTATTTCTTATGCACCCATTTCTGGAGCTCAGTAAGTTGCAGATTCATGGAGCTACGCTTCACCCCCAACCCTCACCCCTCAGGGTCTGATGTGTCCTCAGAAAGTTCTCTTTTTGGCCGTGCTGCGTGGAATGTGGGAATTTCAGCTCCAGGGATGGAACCCATGCCCCCCTGCAGTGGAAGTGCAGAGTCCTAACCACTGGGCCACCAGGGAACCGCTGCCCTCAATAAGTTGTATATAAGAACTCTGGGGGGAGTCTGGCACCCATGTCTTCCTGCTGCACTTTTACAAATGCTCTGAAAGGAAGCTGGGAAATGGGCCACAAGCTTCTCCGGCCATGGTGGGTTTGAGAAGATGGTGTCTCGTCTCTGACTCCATTCCACAGGCAGATGCCTAGAAAGTCTTAGCAACCT